CACCTCCCTTGGCCTCTCCTCATAAGTCATGTGTCCCAGCCTATGAACCACTTTCACTGCTCTCTGCAGGACTCTCCCTAAGATCTTTATTAACGTGTAGACATTGGTGTCACAAGTGGACTGGCTAAGTTTGCCGATGACACCAAACTTTGGGGTAAAGCGTCCACAACCAAGGATAGGCTAGTGATCCAGGCTGACCTTGACAAGCTTAGAAAGTGGGCGGATAAAAACCTGATGACATTCAATACCAAGAAATACAAGGTACTCCCACCACACCCGAAAGGGACTTGGGGGTCATGATTGACCACAAAATGAACATGAGCCACCAATGAGATGTTGCAGGTGGTAAAGCAACCAAAACTCTGGCTTACATCCATAGATACTTCTCAAGCAAATCTCAGGATGTCATCCTCCCACTGTACTCTGCCTTGGTGAGGCCACAGCTGGAGTATGGCATCCAATTCTGGGCTCCACAATTTAAAAAGGATGTGGAAAAGTTTGAGAGAGTCCAGAGGAGAGCCATGCGCATGATCAGAGGGCAAGAGAACAGGCCTTATGAGAGGCTGAGAACCATGGGACTCTTCAGCCTGGAAAAGAGCAGGGTCAGGGGTGACCTGGTGGCTGCCTATAAGTATATAGAGGGTGTACATCAGGATCTGGGGGAACGCCTGTTCTCCAGAGCACCCCAAGGGATGACAAAAATCAAATGGTCACAAAGTCCTTCAAAACTGTTTTAGTCTGGACATAGGGAAAAACTTCTTTACCGTCCGAGCCCCCAAGCACTGGAATAGGCTCTATCCAGAGGTGGTGCAAGCACCTACTCTGGACTCTTTTAAGAAACATTTTGACATCTATCTTACGGGGATCCTTTGACCCTAGTTGACTTCCTGCTCCTCAGGCAGAGGGCTGGACTTGATGATCTTCCAAGGTCCCTTCTAGCCCTAATGTCTATGAAATCTATGACATCTATGAGATGTGGCCTCATCAATGCAGAACAGAGCAGAATAATTCCTTCCCTTGCTTTACTGGCAATGCTCCTACTAATGCAGCCCAGTATGCTGTTAGCTTTCTTGGTAACAAGGACACACTGCTGACTCATATCCATCTCATTGTCCACAGAACCCCCAAGTCCTTTTCTGCAGAGCTGCTGTTTAGCTAGTCAGTCCCCAGGCTGTAGCAGTGCATGGGATTCTTCTGTTCTAAGTTCAGGACTTCGGACTTGTCCTTGTTAAACCTCATGAGATTTATTTTGGCCCAAACTGGAAGGATTGTCTAGGTCACCCTGAAACCTAGCCCTACCCTCCAACATCTATTCCACCCCCCCCCAGCTTGGTTACATCCATGAACTTGCTGAGGGTACAATCCATCTCATTTTCCAGATTGGAAATGAAGATATTGAACAAAATCAGCCCCAGGACTAACCCTGGGGCACTCCACTTGATAATGGCTGCCAGCTAGACACTGAGCCATTGATTACTACCTGCTGATCCCAACAATCCAGCCAGCTTTCTATCCACCTTACAGTCCATTCATCCAACCCATACTTCCTCAGATGCTTGCAAAAATGCTGCGGGAAACTGTTTCAAAAGCCTTACTAAAGCCCTAAATTTCTGTCCAGAAAAATACCCTAATAAGATACTTCAATGTGGAGAACTAGAAGAATTCTTCCGACACCTGCACCTCAAAGAATATTTCCATGACCAAACTGAACCCACTCCCAACAACAACTTATCCTCTGACAACATTCAGGAAAGGATCAATGCCAACAAGCCCAAAAAAGCATCAGATTGGACACCTCACAGTGGACAAAACCCTAACCTTGACCGCTACATTGACTGCTTCAGGGAAAGAATGAACAATGAAATAATCAGGAACACACGCCACCACAACAACCTGTCTCTACCAGAGAAAAAGGCCATAGAATCTCTAAGATCTAGCCACCAAATAGTAATACAACCAGCAGATAAAGGAGGAGCCATAGTCATCCTAAACCGCGAGGATTACATAAAGGAAGCCAAGGGACAGCTCTCTGACACCTCCTACTACAAAGAACTACAAGAAGATCCTACTCCCCTTTTCACCAAAAAACTCAACAATACCATCAAATCATTTCCATCAAGACTACAAGAAAAACTACAGACCTTGATCCCCCTGCTACCTAACCCGGGGACTTTTTACATGCTCCCTAAAATCCACAAACAAGGGAACCCTGGCAGACCTATCATATCCAACCATAGGACCCTAACTGAGGAAATATCAGGTTTCATTGAATCAATCCTAAAACCGCTTGTCACCCACAGAGCAAGTTTTGT